TAGACAAAAAGACGACGCATAATGTTTTATGTTAACAAACTGCATATAGAAACTGTCAAAAACTAAATACAAGGAGGAATCAAACATAATGGGGTGAAAACAGGTGATACTGATGAACGAGACGATGAACAGGAGGCTGATGAGGGAGTGAGTTCAGGTGTGGGTGACACACAGGCGGCGAAATCCTCGTCAGGACCGTTCCCTGGGAGGCGTGCCCGGGACCGCTCGCTGAGGCTGGCAATGTAGAATACACACAGCGAGCGGTCAGAATAGTGGGTGAGGCACGCCAACTCCAGAAAATCCCTGGTGTGGGACTCCAGGGAACTGTTTTCCTGTTCCAGGCAGAGGAGGGCTACAGCTGGAAGGTCCATATTTCTTTTAAGGTCGGTCGATCTGTCAAAAACTAAATACAAGGAGTAATCAAACATAATGGGGTGAAAACAGGTGATCCTGATGAACGAGACGATGAACAGGAGGCTGATGAGGGAGTGAGTTCAGGTGTGGGTGACGAGAGGATCTTGGGAAGTGTAGTGCTGGAGACGCAGATAGAACGGTGCAGACGAGACTGTGACAGAAACATTGTTTGCGATGTCTGCCATTATATTCCCATCTCGTCAACACCATGTAAGTTACGTTGCGGTGTAGAACAGCCGGTGGTGGTTTGGGGTGAAGGGCGGCTTTGCAACGCTACCAGGTGTCAGTGTGGCTGTTGTACTGCGATGAACACCGTGTCAGAGACAGAGTCCATCTGCTATCAAGAGGTTGATCTTGAGCATGTATTGCGTGGTTAATTCTTCATTACCGGCGCGCACGTTTACCATGCTGTGCAGGGAGGTAACTTAGCCGTGTTGGAAGCGGCGATGCTTTCCCTAAAGGATGTCAGAGCGGAGACACTTTTTCCTAATATACAGTATGTATCTACTAGCACTACCAGTGCGAAAACATGGACGTTTCATTTCCCCTTAAACAAATAGATGCTTACAAACATGTTGTTGACGAGACGGGAATATGATGGCAGACATCGCGAACAATGTTTCTAAGTACAGTTTGCCAACATATAACATTAGACATTGTCTTTTTGTCTAATGACTGTACCTAACATTAGTCGTTCGCGGTCAAAACACCGGTGTAAACAGTTTGATGTCGGGATATTCAATGCCCAGACCCTGAGTCAACCAACCCCGTGATGTCACATATTAGAATACTGCACAATGGCGGCACCCTGGCGGCACAAGATATAAAGTTTTTTTTTTTTCTTTTATATGTTTACATTTGTCATGTTTCTTATATAATTGTTGATTATAATGGAAATCCATCTTGTAAATCATGTAAACTTGATTGACTGCTTCATTTCCCCTTTAAATTGTTTATTTTGAAGAACATGGTTTGTTACTTTATTTAAATCCCCTTAGTACCAGAAATAAACACAGGACAGGTTAACAATTTACTAAAGTTTTAATTTATGGAAGGGTGCACACTACTTATATTCTTCTTTGCTATTTAAAGGGGTGATGAGCTGAGCAATCAAATTTTCCTTGAGCTTTTGACATCTAAGAGGTCATCATATTATAAGAATATCCTGTAAGTTTCAGAACTGAAAACATCCTTGTTAGTCCAATAAAAGCTTTTATTGACACCAGGCTCAGCAAATGACTTGTTTTTCAAAGAGGGGAACTATGACGTCAAAGAGGATAAAACACCACCCCCGCAGAAGAAGATCAATGCCTACTTCAAAACGGCCGCTTTAGCCTCGCCCACTGATTCACGCATTACACGCATAGATAAATAACATAGGCCACCTCGTGATGACAAACCGGATCGAGCTACCGAGCAATACAAAATATTGTGCAGTGCCTGGTTGTGGAAGAAGACAGTGGCTGCATATGCTTCCTCTGGATTTCAATAGGACTATATAGATAGACTTTATTTTTAATGACGTTCCAGCAGATGAGGTAAACCATTGCCCGTCTGTTCGCTTCATTTCACTGAGGATTGTTTTGTAAACAAGACTGGATTTGCAGACCGATTAAGAGTAAAAAACGGTGCTGTGCCGTCTATATTGGATCTGACAGGAATGGTGCAACACACAGAATCTGGGTCAAACATGTATGGGCGAATCATTCTGGTTGCCATTTTACAACATTGGACGTTTTCAAAATAATGATTTGAAACTCATTATAATATGCAAAATTGTTATCCACTCACAGCAGTGGGCGTTTACTTCCAAGTCTTCAGTGCGAGACGACCATAAAAAACCAGCGTTTTTTCAGCTAAAAATAGCATATTACTTATTCATTTTGATGTTTTTGAATGCAAAAACCAAGCAAACAGCATAAGTTGACCTCAGACAACAATATAATAAACTTTAAAAAGCCAGTTCATGACCCCTCTACCTGGGTCCTTGATTCCTCTGGTCCATGGAGTGAAAGGCCACATTTAATTTGTCGGCAAAGCAACAAAGGAAGAGGTGGGGCTTCAGCCTCCAAACTTGTGCTGTTCCATAGGAAATTGAACTGTACCATCCTGAACCATCCTGATCTGATTCGGAGGGGGATTCTCTTCTTCTTCTTTTTTTTTTTTTTTTTTATTCAGCTTAAAGGGATACTCCACCGTTTTTTGTTTGTTTGTTAGTTTGTTTTTTTCATATTAAACTATGTTATTCCCTTAACTAAGACGAGTTGATACCTCTCTCATCTCAGTGCGTGCACTCAATCGCTCTGGCGCGCAAGACACTTTTATTGCACTTAACTAGCCCTGTTCCTTTTGTTAAGGGGAAGGTTTATTTTGATTTTGTTTTGTTTTTTATTTTGTTAAACAGGGGAGATTTATTTATTTTGATGTCGATTTAATTTTTGTTCGTTTCAGTTAACTTTCATCTTCATCTTATATGGATTTTTTTTGGAAATTACTTTCATTATATCTTCCCCTGTATGAAATTTTTCTTTGGAAGAAATAAATCTTATCTGCTTACAACCTATCCTGCCTGTTCTTGGCCACACCATCACATGCTGATTATTGTGATGATCTCTCACAGGAGGCAACGTTGCAGGGGTCCGTCCAGTTCACAATGACCCCCACTCGTAATGAGATATGACTCACCCAACCAACCAAAGTGCTTTAAATAATCCAATGTGTCTTGGCTTTACTGTGAACCACACATTTGTCCTCTTTTTAATTGGAAAATGACCTATAATTCTTTATTATTCTAGCAGAAATAATCAGATGTTTAAATGGTATATTAGCCTTGGCTTGTTGCCATGAACTGGGCTCTTTGTTCTCGAGTAATCTCCATTTCTGCCTTTATATACTAATTCAAAACCAATATTGAAGATGAAACGTAAATTGATATATGATTTGTCTGCTTTTCCTTGCATTAGAATTCTTTGTTATCATCAAAGCACTGCTTTGTTTGAAGGACTACAAAAATGCATTACTCAATGTATAGCTTCCCAACATGCACATATATATGACATATGTGACATACACAATGTCTTTGTTTAAAAGCATTTGTTCTGAACAAAACAACTGCTTTTCTTATGATCAAAGTCTCGGTTTTTTTAAGCATCTGTCATGGCCTCTACAAAATAATACAGATCAAGTAATATTTATGACACTTCTATACTAAACCATAATTGCAGTACCGCATAAATTCCTTACATTATTGTTTTTAAATGGGATGTTAATGGGATGTTAGTCGTTGGGAAAGACTGCCCTATGGTGAACTCTACACTGTTCCCATAAAAGTATATGTTGTGGTAGAATGCTTGTTAAATCTATGAGTCTAAAGTGATTGTGGATGCTGATTGGTCAATACAGCATTCCAGATGTAGTAAAGTACAGATATGACATGCAACACCCACATGTGCTGCACCCATAGATGTGCTGATATTGTTTCATGTCAGAGATTACACTGGGGTCCATAAAGCGATAACAGCGCTTCATTTTTTTTTTCATATAAACTTTCTTAAAATAAAATGTTTTCAGGAAAAAAAGAAAAAAACAATAACATTCTGAAATTCATTTAAATCATCCTTTCAGTCAAGTTGTTATGCTGATAGCAGAAAAGATTAAGTTTATATACCGTATATACTACTATAGTATTTAGCTTTTATTTGTATTATACATTCAGTTTTAATTTTAGTTAATATTAATGTAATTTTACAAGCTTTCATTTTCAGTTTACAGTATATAGCTTTAATACATTTGTATTTCAGTTTTAGTCATTTTAGTATGTAAACTTATTTCAATTAGTTACCGAGGCATTTAATCATTTGATATCTATAATATATAATATTTTTAGTTAACAGTTACAACAGTGTTAGAAAAATGGGTAATACTTTAGTTTACTGTGTCCTTGTTACATGTTACAAACACTTACTATAGTAATAACAGTAAATTATCCATAATTACATGCAACTAACCTCAAACCCAAACCTATACCTAACCTTAATCCTATAGTAAGTACATGTTGTTAATTAATATTACTTAGTACTTGTGAATTTATATAACATAAAATAAAGTCTAACCAAAAAAAAAAAAAAATGCAAAACAGAAGCACTTTAACTAGTACTTTTAGACTTTTGGTACTATTATATATTATTATTATTATTGTATAGTTAATGGATTAAGTTATTCAAAATAATGCCCGTCCTTAATATTTTTCTGTTTCATAAAAGCAATAAAGCCCTCAAAGCTGTGCTATGTAGTGATTATATACTCTGCTGAGCATTGCTCTTTATCTTTGACTCACTCACAATATTGCACAGCCTCTCATAACTTAAAGCTTCATTCTACATTAGTAATATGTGCTTTTACTTCACCCAAGATATGCTTATCTAGAATGCTGTTTATAGCATAGGTGTGTGGAATACTGTCATGACATATGAGTCTGGGTCAGGTCATCCAATATACTGAGCGAAAATTAAATATGACTAACACATTCTGAAAATGGTTATTGAATGGTTATTCATCATTGAAAAGTTAGGTAAAGATTGCCTTACCTTTCACAAGACACATATCTTCGCATTCCTGCAGGGTCTCGAAATTGTTTGCATTGCCTTGACAGCCTCCATATTCAAAGAGCTCACAGCGACCTGTGTCAATGTCGAAGTAGAACCTGTCCTTCATTGCCCTGCATGGCCCTTCGTCTTTCTTCAGGGCGCATAAGTGATGGAATATGGGGAGTTCAGACCTCACTCCATCTGCTGAGGGTGGAAGGAAGCCAGAAGTTATAATTTGCTCTGTACATAATTTACAAAACTCTGCGTGCTAAATTTAAGCCTGCATCTATAAGCTTTCACTTAAGACTTTGCAGGGGGTAAAAGAGCTTTCTGGCATTGGAAAGTAACCATACACCTACTTTTAATAGAGCCACCCTTTCTTAAAGACATCTCAATGACATGAAAGTCTTTAGATTTTAAAATAATTAAATATAAATTTGGATGGTTTAAATGTATATATATATATATATATATATATATATATTAAACCCCAAAATAGGGTCTTAATCCTTACCAAGAATCAACCATATTAGTCTGTTCTAAGAGTGCTGGGTAAAGTGAACTAAGTGGTCCTTCCTGTTCACACAACAAGGACTGAATCCAAAGAACACCTCGGTTACGAATGTAACCCTCGTTCCCTGAGTAGGGAACGGAGACGTTACGTCGGAATGACGGAGAATGGGGGTTTCGCATAGAAAGCCAATCCTCTTCGAGTATTTAATAACGAGCCAATGGCATGAAAATGCCTTGGGGCTGCGAAATTTGCATAGCGTAACTCCGCCCCACCCCGTGGGGATAAAAGGAGGAAGTGAACGCAATCGCAGTATGTCTTCGCTGAGGAGCCAAGACTGAACTCAGCGTCTACCCAGCGGTACAGCAGAAGTGGCAAGGAGACGTAACGTATTCGTTCCCTGCTCAGGGAACGAGGGTTACATCCGTAACCGAGACGTTCCCTTTCGTAGTCACTCCGAGTTACGTCGGAATGACGGAGAATGGGGGTCTATGCCATCACGCCATCTTCATAGCTGTCTTCCAGTGCCCTGCGAAAGTCTGGACTCCTAGCATAGCTTATAACAGTAGTTACCTACTTTGTAGTAGTAGTTACAAAGTAGTAGTTACAAAGTAGTTACCTACTTTGACACAGGAATACCAAGGTACACTGGGAAGCATATCCCGGGAGGGACATGCTACCAAATGCCTATCACTGGAGCACCAACCTACGGGTGGCTAGAATCTTAACTCCAGGAGTGGCAGATGGCTTGCCAAGGGAAGACAATGCTTAGAGAGGCTTACAGTGGATAATACACATGAGACAGTTACCATAGGGAACCGTGCACATGGAGGCACCTAGCCGGCATCCAGAGCAAAGCAGTGGTGCCCGCATCAGAAGTGCTGGAGGACTCAAGGCTTCAACGGAAGACTACTGAGGAATATCGCACTTATCCAGTCCGCGGAATGGAATGGCGAGCAAGCGAAGACACCTACACGGTTCCAGTACTGGCCGAAGCGAGTACGCGAGAGGACACCGGCTCTATTCGCAGATTATAGAATCTTGCGAAGGTGTTTGGTGTCGCCCAGCCTGCAGCTCTGCAAATGTCTGTTAGCGAGGCGCCATGCGCTAGAGCCCAAGAGGAAGCCATACTCCGAGTGGAGTGGGCCGTCACACCAAGGGGGCACGGTCGACCTTGCTGTTGGTAAGCCAAAGCGATGGCGTCCACTATCCAGTGAGACAGTATGCGGTGTCGGACCTCCACGTTTTATAACAGCTTTGTCCCCCAAGCCATCAGACTGTTAAACACTGATAAATAAGTTGTCTTATACTTTGACTGCTGTCAGATATGGAGATAGATATTTTGATAGTAAACTATTTAGGGGATGAACATTTACTTATGCTGCATTGAAACTGCTAAAAACTGTGGCCTATGCAAACGAAATTTCGTTCTGTATACACTTGTTGTATTATGAATGACAATAAAGTCTGTCAAGTCAAGACAAAGAGCTGGTCTGAGGTCCTGAAACACTGCGTTCTGTCAACGTAAGCGCGCAGCGCACGTACCGGACAGAGCAGTGCCAAGGCTGGGTCTGCCTCCTCCAGGGGCAGCGCTTGCAGGTTCACCACCTGGTCCCGGAGGGGAGTGGTAGGAACCTTGGACACATATCCAGGCCGGGGTCTCAAGATCACGTGAGAGTAAGCCGACCCGAACTCCAGGCACGCTTTGTCAACGGAGAATGCGTGCAGGTCCCCTACCCTCTTGATGGAGGCCAATGCAACCAGGAGTGCTGTCTTCATGGACAGAAACTTTAACTCTACCGATTGCAAAGGCTCAAAGGGAGGCCTCTGCAGAGCACTTAGAACTACTGAGAGGTCCCAAGAGGGCACGAGGGGAGGGCGAGGCGGATTTAACCTCCGCGCTCCCCTCAGGAACCTGATGACCAGGTCGTGCTTTCCCACAGACTTACCTTCTACTGCATCATGAGACGCGGCAATGGCCGCGACATAAACCTTAAGGGTGGAGGGCGACAGCCTACGCTCCAACCCTTCTTGCAGGAAGGAAAGCACGACACAGATCGGACATCTTCGGGGGTCTTCTCCGCGGGAAGAGCACCAGTTGACAAAGAGGTTCCACTTCAACGCGTAAAGGTGTCTCGTGGACGACGCTATAGTGGAAGAGATGGTTGCCGCCACCACAGGTGGCAGCGAACTCAAACCTGCCTCGTCCTGTCCAGGAGCCACACGTGTAGCCTCCAGAGATCGGGACGAGGGTGCCACAGGGTGCCCCATCTCTGAGTGAGTAGATCTTGCCTCAGAGGATTAAGGCCAAGGAGGTGCTGTCACGAGGAGCATCAGTTCGGAGAACCACATCTTGGTGGGCCAATAGGGGGCTACCAGCAAGACTGCTCCTCGTCCTCCTTGATCTTGCACAACACCCCTGCAAGAAGGCTCACTGGGGGAAACGCATACTTGCGTGGGTCCCGCGGCCAGCTGTGTGCCAGTGTGTCTGTGCCGAGCGTGCCCCCGGACAGGGAATAAAACTGGGCGCAATAGGATGAGTCCCGAGAGGCGAACAGGTCTATCTGTGCCTCCCCGAACTGGTCCCAAATCAGCTGGACCGTCTGGGGATGGAGTCGCCATTCGGCCGAGATAGGGCAGACCCGTGACAGCTCGTCGGCCGCCAGGTTCCGGTCTCCTGGAATGTACACTGCATGAAGGGACCTCAGGTGCTTCTGACTCCATAACAGGAGGTGGCGAGCGAGCTGCGACAACCGACATGAGCGTAGACCACCCTGATGGTTGATATACGCTACCGTAGGGGTATTGTCCGAACGGACAAGTACGTGTTGACCCCTGAGCAGTGCTCAAAAGCGGTGCAGGGCCAGGCGTACTGCCAGCAGCTCGAGGCAATTGATGTGCATGAGGCGCTGGGGTCCTGTCCAGGAACCTGCGGCTGCATGACCATTGCACATGGCACCCCAACCCATGGTAGAGGCATCCGTGGAGACAACTACATGCCTGGAAACGCCTGGGGTCTGGCGATAGAGGGGGAAGGGAGTGGTGTAGTCGAGGGACAACACATGCTCCCTTCCGCACCCTCAGAGACAGAGAGGAATGAGCGGGGCGACGCACTGGGACGTCGTGCGCGCTCATTCCTGTCTGTGTGCTCGGTGATGATGTCAAGTCTTTCTTTAACCAACTCAGGGTGCTGCCCACCCATGGGTGAGCAGCAGGGAGCTGAGAACAAAAGATTCTCCCCCGGCCCTCCACCGGGGGAAGGAGGGGGCCTGCTACCACCTCCTGTGAAAATCTCGACCTCATCACTGAGCAGCCCGTCTCAGGAACACCGCTTCGCCTGGCGTTTAACGGGGCGCGCGGCCTGAGGGGGCTGTGACGCTGCCCTGCAGGAGCCGCAGGAGGGCGTTCTCGGCGGCAAGCAGGTGGAGGCATCTGAGGCGACGGTTGGGTGGAAGCGGCAGCTGGCCGTCGGGCAGGATGTGCTTAATCACCTCCGTCTGCTTCTGGGCAGTCGAGAACTGCTGGGCAAAGTCCTCGACTGCACCGCCGAAAAGGCCAACCTGGGAGAGGGGGGCATCGAGCATACAAGTTCGCTCGGGATCCCGCGTGTCTGCCAGGTTGAGGCAGAGATGGCGCTCCTGGACCACACTAGTGGCCATCACCTGACCAATGGAGCGAGCGGCCACTTTCGTCGCCCGGAGAGCGAGGTCGGTGGCAGCACGCAGTTCGTTAAACGCCGCTTGGTCAGTCCCCCCCTCGTGCATGTCCCTGAGCAGTTTGGCTTGGAAAACCTGCAAAGTGCTCATAGCATGCAGGGCGGAGGCTGCCTGTCCCGCCGCTCTATAGGAACGCGCGCCATAGACGACGAGAACCTACAGGCTTTGGATGGGTGCTTGGGAGTACCGCGGGAGGAGGCGCTCTGCGGACACAGTTGCATCGCAACAGAGCGCTCCACCGGGGGAATCCCATCGTACCCACGGGCAACCGCGCCGTCGAGGGGAGGAAAGGCGGGGGAAGCTGAAGCGCGCTCTCGGGAGGTGTAAGATCACTTTTGTAAGATCATTGAGTCTAGATCGCAGTGTAGAGAAGGTCATGTTCCCACAGAAGGAACATGAGTCATCCACGAACGCTGCTGCTGCGTGCTGAATGCCCAGACACACAGAGCAGCGATCGTGACCATCAGAAGATGACATGAATCGACCGCACCCAGAAGAACTCGGGCGAACCATCTTTAAAAAGACGTGCCACGTGCAGCTCTTTCAATGGAGAGGAGGAAATTCACTCTTTCAGCACTGAGGCGACCAGGGAGAAGCGCAAAGTCTGGCAGACCACTGCTCAGATCGCAGGCAATGCAGAATCTCGCTGGGCACCGCCGTCACACCAACACTGAAGAGGACGCTCGTCTCGAAGAGTTGTACTCAGTGAAAATGGCTTTAGGAGTGAAGAAGTCTCTTGGCTCCGAAGCGAAAACATACTGCGGTTGCGTTCACTTCCTCCTTTTATACCCACGGGGTGGGGCGGAGTTACGTTATGCAAATTTCGCAGCCCCAAGGCATTTTCATGCCATTGGCTCGTTATTAAATACTCGAAGAGGATTGGCTTTCTATGCGAAACCCCCATTCTCCGTCATTCCGACGTAACTCGGAGAGACTACGAAAGGGAACCAGAGAACTCCCTTGCCTTACAAGTTGTC